AGTCGGAGAGAACTATAAAATCCCTCATGATAAAGTCGGCTTTGACGCGGAAGGCCGATTGTGTCGATGCTGTCTTCTTTGCGGAGTTCGCTCGTCGGAGTTTTGCTCGTAGCCGAAGTCACTCAGCCGTCGATTGCGGCGGAACTCTAGACAGTCTTATCTTCATCCGGAGCATCATACCACAAAAACACCACACCGTCTCCTTGCTCTGCGGGAGGACTCCGATCAGGTGTTTCCTAGTTCGCCCAATGTCTCGGACTGAATCACGGATTTGGATCAAGAGTCGTCGCGAGGAACTGGACTCGTACCTGTTCGTCGAACGGTAAAGCTCTTCAGTCGGAGAAGTTCCCTCATCTTTGGGAATGAGCAAATTCATACCAACTCATGACAGTAAATATATATCTGATAATGGATGTAATGTGTATTATGAAATGTTCCATGAATTCAAGGGTGAACTGGGACGTCAGCTCCGACTCGAGCTCATATTAGAACACTTGAGTATGAATTTCCCCTCATTTGAGTCCGTATCAATGAATTTTTTCTGGCCATCTCCGCTCCGTTCGCTCATTGAATTCCCTCAGTCGGGATATCCTTCGGCGAAGAAACGTCCACAGATTCATCTAAGCGGTAGAAGCGAGTCAGAAAATTGAGGCTTCAATACCAGAATGACAAGACGTTCGCCTGTGAGATGATTGTACATATGTACGTTGTATTCTTGCGGAAACGAGCGGCTCGTTTTTCAGAGAATTCCGCCGACTCTCGAACGATACTGAATGTCTCCCCTATCCTCAGACAAGCCTCTCGCAGCAGGAAGCGGGAATGGTGGAATTCCCCGCCGATAATCATCCTCGAGTGCCTAATGGATCGTAGCGCCATCAGCGCTCCGCGACTCGCCCCTCTCCATTTCCATCTTCCGCGACCGATGTCGCCTCCAAAAAGCCTTTCACCTACCGTCGCATCGATGGTGGAGCAGAAGCAAGTCGCTCTAAAGTGAAACATAAACGGGAAAATGCTTGACGATTTGTCTGAGGGAGGAGTCTAGGGTGCCTCCGAGAATGTGGCGATTCCGCCGCGTAGGAAACGGGTCCGAGTCCCCGCGCAGAGAATCACCAGGAGTCGGCTGTTATCATCTCTATCAAAGATACCTCCCCGCATTTGCGGAGCATCGAGAATCACGACGCGTCCACTTCGACGACTATTCCAGCGACCGAAGCAGAAGATCGGATCTGTCTGGCGAAGCGACCCGCAGCGAATTGATCAATATCAATTCAGGGATGTCATCAATCTCAGTATCCAAGTGAGACAAGAGGAGCTCGGAGGGGGACTTAAAACAAGTTTCCAGCGATATCAAGGAGTTTCAAGGATAATCCATGCGGGACGCTAGCACTTAGACAGTCGGGAGCATGTTTCGCGCGAGGCTGCTCTCAGAAGAGAGACCGTCGATGAAGCGGAAATTCGACAAACAACGACCTCTTCGTCCAGCCGTCCGTTCGCGAGTTCATCCCGTCGTTGGTGGGCAAGACCGATCGTCGGTCGGTCGGTCGGTCAGTCAGTCAGTCAGAAGGCTTTGGCATCATCCGATGTGAGTATCGAGGATTCCGAAAGCAGCCCGCGAGACATTGCGCGACTCAATCTATTTCGGCGACGCTTACGGTCTAACGAAGCATCAACAGCGATACTAGACGTTGCGATGCATCGATCGGGGCGAATGGATGGAGCGAGCGACACAAATGTATCGGACTTGTCGCTGTTCTCTAGTATATTGTTTCACCGCCAAGCGGCCCGGGAGAACAGAATGAAGCGCGGCGGATGCACTCTGGCTTGAGTTAGAGCTCGAAAGAACGTGTTTCTCATCGCAAGTGAAGTCAGCTTCGACTCATCACCGCCGACGTCGATGATTCCGGAGTGTTGCTCGGGTTATAAGGCGCAGTGCAGTCGGACCCGTGTATTAGAGCAGGAACTTCTTAAGCTTTCCTGCCCTGTGGAACCCTGGTAAGGTTCCGCTGAACCCTTATCCTTGGTTTCGGACTCTATCTTCCCATATTTTCCCCTTGATCACCTCAAAACCTTCTACCGCGATCGCATGAAGCATCCTGCATGAATTCAAGCTCAGAAAACTCATTCCAATTCGGAAAAATGAATGAAAGTCTGAGCAGCCGAGCAGGGCTCGCAGAACCCAGGTTAAGAACCGCTGTATTAGAGATACGCATGTGAGAGACTTTGGCTTATAAGAGACAGATTCCATTTCCCGTTTTCGAGATCTCTAACTCCCCTGTTGAAAAATTCTATAATAGGAGACTCGAAAATTCAATGAAAAGAGAGAAACTTTTTGTTAGAGACTTGTCGCGGATCTCCTCATCATAGGATCCGATGTTGAGGGATTCGCTCATGAGCGAGCGGACCGAGGATTCTCACTCCAGAACGATTTTCACTGATTCCGACTCTTTTTGAGGAGTTTCAGGCGTGGCTCAGGCGAACGTGTACGGCACGTCTGAACGAACCGAAATTCTCGACCATTTGAGCTGCGATTACGTCTATCCGCGGATAAGGGAAACTCGCATATAAGAGACTTTTTGCCCCCCCCCCATGCAGTCTCTCATAAGCGGGTCTGACCGTGTCAGGTTTTGTATCCAGCAGCATCTCCATTGGGTCGTTTCTCTCCGACGGCGAAGCTTGCGTCGGTCGTTGTCAACACGACGGAGCATCACGAAATCGAGTCCGAGGAGACAGCTCCCAAAAGCAGATAAACCGTCATCGGTTCCAATGACGACGAACAATTCGACTTCGAGATAGAGAATCGAGAATGCTCCGAGGTTGTTAATGGATGTTAGTTGCATGCTGGGCCCTGAGAGGAGGATCCGCGACAGAATCAACGCGGCTTGTTTCCTCGGACAGGTTCCCTCTTCTCAAGTGTCCTCCACAACAGGCGGATAGACTCGTTGTTATCAGACGAGGAGGAGGAGGAGGAGGAGCAGGAGAGGACAACTACGCTAAGAGCGGCCTGCCAAGCTCTAACCTCTCATCCTCATTTCGGGGAAGGTTAGAGAATCCGAGCGAGATATAATCTGTGAACAGTCATGCGAACCTTCCAATTCTCACCCGAATTAGATCGCTGCGAGCCTCGAAGCAATCATTACGGACTTTAATTATTTCCGTTCGGTGCCGCCCCATCGGTCCAGTAAGTCGAATGGCATCGATTAGATGTCCCGCAGGAAAATTCCATTATTGTGAAATATGCAGATTGAGATGTCCATGCAGACATCCAAATACGAGTTCCCGTTCTCCGCATACGAAATCATCAAGTCGGCGATTCCGTCCTCTCTCGATGATCTCACCGCTCCTCTGCGATTTCGCCCGGGATTCCCGAGTTGAACCATTTCGTGGAGAATCCACAGGAGCCGAGCGGTCATGTTATCGGAGCGGTGGGAATAACCGCGACCGGCCAGACTTTCCACGCGGCGCCCGATACTGCAAACGACTTATGAGGAATTCTCGGCCCTCCTCGAATTCCAATGCGTCGATAAATAATCGGCTCAGAGTGCGTTGGGTCCCAGAGAATGTCTGGGGATCCGCTAACTGAATTCTTGGGTTGATCTACCGTATTCTCCCTGATAGGAGCACCGTAAAACGCCGATCGCTAACTTTGTACGTTTGTTGGAGTGGTTCACGGAAATTCGGTACATTTCGTCTCGAAATTCCAATAGGTATTTGGCTTCAGAATAGCATAGACGGAATTTCCACGCTGATGTCCGATGTCAGGACCTCAGGACCAACCATGATCGTCGAGCATCGTACACGCAAGTCTGTTCGAATTTTATGCCTGATGCTCTCGTCTACCTGTGGAGCCGCTCCTCCGGGATCGCCGGAGCGATCAGACCCAGGCCATGACAGTTGCCTGGCGTCAAGTTTTTCAGATGTAAGATCCAGGGAATGGTTTTCTCCATTCCAGCAAGACCCTTCCCGCACTGAAAATCTTTCCGCCCCACCATTCCCCGACCCTCGGAACCCCCAGCTTCCAAGCAGGAAACTTCAACCTGCCGTCTACCGACGACGCTTCTTTTTCTCACGCGTCGGCTTTTTCTATCCCTCCGGACTTACAGCCAGGGGTCGGAGCTCAGTTCCTGTGCGGGGACTTCCGATTGCAGCGGGAAGCCGATGAACTTTAGTCCCCCCAAGTCGATGAAAGTCGAAATCAGGGCATCCACCGTCTTTACAGCATCTGGTCTCCTACAAAGCGTCGGTTTCATGACAGAAACGTCTGTGTGGAAACGCAGCATCATCATCGGCTCGGTTTGGATTGAACTTCCACCTCGCACCGATCTGAAGCCGCTGGGATGGAGAATCTCATTTTCGCACCTCATAAAAAGGCTGTGACCTCATTCCTCGTGAACTTCCCCCTGTAGAATTCGCACAGAGGCTGTCTTGAACGCGCCGCGCTGTGGGGTAGAGCAGTAACGGCTGCTGTGGACGAGCTCATCAGGTTGCGCGAATTACTGCTGCTCCGTTGGCATCGGGGGAGCAATTGACCCCTAAATTCACTGGGAGAGGCCGCATAGTCACCAAGTTCCGGCTTAATGAGGTAGCATCATCAATAGTTGGAATGAATATCGGGAGTTCCCGGGGACACTGAGATATAATTGTCGTGACTTGTGACCTGATCGTCCTACGGGTCGTTTACGAACGTCACTGAATACTCACCTGAGTTCCCAGGTGAGTATTGGAATTTTCCATCGGCCTTAATCATAAGTAGTGAATCTACATGACCGCCCGCGCATTTTCAAGTTGAAGATGAGAGCAGCGAGGAATAATTTGCGACGGGCTCGCTCGAGACCGTAGCTTGTCTTTGGCAGCTGGGAGGAAATCGGGATAAGATCCCATGGCGAGGGACCACTGTCTTCCTCCGCAGCTTGAGATCACCGGAGTGGGCCGAAGTTCTCCGACGGCGCCCACTAATTTGTCTGCGCACTCCGCAACACAAGAGAGACTTCAAGCAAACTCACCTGTCGTAACAATGTGTGCTTAGCAGGAATTGTTCGAGATGATCCCATCACTGACAACACACAAACGAAATTCCCTAGAGCCAGTCAACTGATTTCACAGTGTTCGTGTGTCATGACAGCGGAAAAAAGAACTGCTTCCAGAATTTCAACCAGAAAATCAAACACAGCGGTGCCCCGGACTTCGACAGCTGGGCTCCGGGCCCAGACTGAGCACATGGCGCTCGGAAAGGGTCTCTCTCACCCGAGAGTCGTTTCCCTCGCTGCCCTCTTTCTCCAGCGGCTCGCAATGAAGCGACGAAGGCGCAGCCAAATAACTCCTAGGGGACTCGCGCTGCCGCAGCCATTGGCGTTCCAGGTTGAATGCTCGTTCGGAAATGCTGACAGAATTGTTATTATCCCAGCCGCTCGGAATTATACCATGATAATGTTTGACTCCGTTGCATGGTCAGCTTCATCGGAACCTCAGATGGAATATTTCTGCTCGTCCTCCCCCTTTCGCGCGAGTTCGGGGACGACAGGTCGGAGTTCATGAACTCAATCTGATTTCGTCGCGAACGCATCCTGGCTTGTTGAACGGCGAACGTATGAGAGAAGTTCCCGGATCGAATCTTGACAACGGCGAATGGACTTTGACGCAGACGAGCCCACCTGAACGATTCCAATAGACCATGAGCATCCTCCTACACCGAATCTCCTCTCCAGGAGGAAATCTCCGGCGGAAATCGCGCTTCCCCGTTCGATTGTCCGCTTTGTTATGGAAAGACCCAACTCCCAGGAGAAGCGCCTCGGTTTATCCATCCATTCTTCCTCCTGAACACTTCATCGTCGCTCTCCGAATGCCGCGAACTACCGCATTGAGCGGGTCGAGACATCGGAAGCGGTCCGGATTTCGGACTCCTCCGCGGCACTAACAAGAGGAGCGACACCGTTGTGGCTCAGAAAAAAACGAATGGGACGATGCTTCGCCGACGCGTGGTGAGGAACTCGCCGTCGAGAGAAAGCCTCGGATCAGCTATGCAGAGACTTGGGAGCGGAGCGCTCCCGAATCCCGCGCCGTCCCATCTAATCCCTCATCAAGGAATGGGATTGGAGAGTCTACGCTAGCTCCGAAATGTCTGCGAAAGAGGCACGAATTCCCGACAATCCTCATTCGATCGCAGCAGCTCCTAAGTCGGATTTCGGCGAGATGACAGAAGCAGAATCTCACCGCGGAGAGCTGCCGGGACGCGGAATGAGGTATCCACACACCATTCTGACGTGCCCAACTGGGGAACTCTCTGGGCGCAGATACCCTCGGAGGTCCTCCTAGGTTCCACCTTCCACTCTAAAGCTGCATGGCGGAGGATAGAATACGGAGGGCTCATCTTCGGATGGCTTCGGGGTTCTCCTGAGTTTCCCTCAGTCGCACTCGCGACGAGTTCTCGAGTTTCAGCAACCGAACTATTCTAATGCGATAGGAGCTGGGAGACCCCCTCGGCTTCTGACAAACCCAGAAAATGCGAGACTCCACGTGGGATGGGAGCGTATCATTTCTGGGCGGTGCCTCTCTGGGGAAATCCTGACTGAGGCGGTCAATCATCCGACAATCTTTCTTTTCCATCGATACTTCGGGCGATGGGGAAGCCCACCGGAGAAGGTTTCTCCTTCCTTCTCGTAGCTCATATGATAAGCCGAGAGTACCCTTGGATGACTTTCCGAGGGAGAAATGAACTTTCTCGGTAAGATCGAACAGGTGGAATGATTCGAAGTCCGAAGTCACACAGTTTCGTGGCTCTGATCAGCTCATCATCAATGCTCGTGTTTTCGAATCTTGATGGCCTCAGCGTGTTCTGATTATGATGATAGATTCCTTTCGGAAGATAGGGCATCGAAATCGTTGCGATGAGCCTCGACGGACTCGTCAGCAGCCTGTCGCTAATAACTAGGGCTCAGCTTCCGTCACGGTCCTGCGGTCGAAAATTCGCGATGTGCTTCGGCTCCCGTTGACCCTCTATCACTTGGGGGATGGATCGAGATCGAGGCCACGTTCTGCTACGAATTTTGGTGACAGGAATTTGGGGGTGCACCGATCAGCTAAATAGAAAGCTCCAAGATGCTATCAGAAAGGGGAGAAGAGATTCTGCGTAAGGCGGTTGCAAAACGCCCGAATTCTCCAATATGTGGCCATGCCGAACTCTCGGTAAGTCGCTCCGTGGCGGATCGCTCATTCCTTCCTGTCGGATCCTTTTCTCTCGCGATTTTCCCTGACCTGCCGCAGGTCTTTCGGTCCGTATTTGAGCAGGAGTACGTTGATACAAAGGATTTCTGGAATCATTCGGTCGCTGCACGCGGTCGAGGATCAGTGGTGTCCAAGACGGAGTTGAGGTCCGTTTGCTCACGAGATAGCGCCTCAAGCCTGACCATGAACACATATGTGACTCCAGAGCTTATCGCTTCCATACACATCGATACTGATACCTGTGTTGACCACGAAAGGTGCTGGATCGATGATAGGAGGATGATATGGCGCTTGCTCTTAGATAGGCTTGTCACTGAGCTCGAAGTCCACTGCGGAGGGTCGAAGTATCTAACATCTGATAGGTCAAATGAGTAGGTGTCTCGCCGCAAGTTCGCCGGAGGCCGCTCCTTGAGCGAAGAAACGGTCAAGCTTCACTGCATGACGTACGGATCGACACGACGCGACGCCGACGTCGGAGTTCATTTCCAGAAATTATCACTCGAGTCACATCGAAACCGCTAATCGAATAATTTGCTCTCAAAAAATCCCCGGGATCTCAAGGCTGGGACATTAGCATCCGCGAAACAATATCGTCCCACGGAACTCCGAAGCCATGGCCGAGGACCTCCGGTGCTTGTTAGCGCCCCTGAGCAAATATTTACTACTTCTCCCCGGAACTTGTTCCATCACATAGATTGCTCTGCCGACCGCGGGAAAAGTTTCCTCGCTGAGCGGAATCGTCCATCTCGAATCATTGTGGACTTTGCAGAAAAAGTAATTTCGGAATTCGGCTCCGGGAACTGTTTCCTGCTTCGACTTGTGCAGGAATCCAGTTCCGAGATTATTCTGCGCGGCGAGTTTCTCAGCTGTGACTTCCCATCAGCAAATGATTCCCCGAGACTCCCCTTGCTCCTGGAAAGACCTCGCGATATTCAATCAGGATGTTCCGTGTTCGCCTCAGTGACGTTCCGATCCCAGATTCCGTCCGTCGAGACCCCCGCATCGACGCAGCCTTGGAGCGAACAGCCAATTTGTCGAGGACTCCCGATGTACAAAACTTGCACAGCATCAGACGGGAATGCATCCGGAAAGCGCGCGATCGACCACTTCCAGCTCCCGGATAGCTTTCATGCTCAGCAACGCTCTCCGGAACCGCGAATAGCGGCCCGATTACCAGCTCCTACAGGGGGTAAACTTTCGCATTCCAGATAGAGGGCACGGTTCAGACTGGCTGTTCCGTAGCATTCGAAATCAGCCCGATGATCATGCTGGCAATGTCGACCACAGGTGTCTTCTCAGGTCCTTCGTAAGGATCTCGCGATGTGCTCGCCCCAGCCGCGAGCCGGGCCCGTTCCCTAGAAAAGATAGGGGGCCCTCGACGCTCCATTCAGATGGAGCAAACAGGCCTCGTTGGCCTATTCGGTGAGAGCTCCATTCCGGGTCGATGCGAGCAACCAGCAGATACGGAACTTTCATTGGTGCATGAAGGGTTTATGATGCGGTGCGCCATTCACGCTGTCGGAATGTCAACAGGCTCGCTAGTCTATGCAGGGTGAGTTCAGCACACGAATCGGGCCTTCAAGATGAGAAGGATCTCCTGAAGGCCGTCGACGAGCGAAGGTTCCAGCGATCTGTATTCGATGCAGAGCTATCGTGGGGGTACGTACATATATCTCGGTGCTCACTGAACCAGGACTGCTGATCGGACTTTCGAAATTCATGCCCACAAAAGGTCGCTTCGGGAATCGATTGGCTCTGCTTGCAGAGCCTATCCGATATCGCGAGCCTTCGCTTCGAGAATGAGGAGCTTCACGCCGCAGGCGATAATCTCGAGCAGTCTCGGCTCCGGAGACGGCTGCTCGTCAAAATTGGCGGCAACGTCTCGACATATGAGCCTTAAAATTGTAATGTATCGCCTGGAGCACATGCAAGCATCCGAAACGTCGGACTCCGAGTCCCCGTCTGGAAAGTCTCCGCGCTTGGTGGAGCGGCGTGAATTAAGAAGCTCGAAGTCACCCATCTGATGATCATTGAACCTCCTCGAGTGATGATCGCGCACAAAGCAAGGCGATGTCTTGATGCTCGAAAATGAGATTCACGAAATCCTTCTCATTCTCACAGGCTCCGAGGATGAGTTCGCCCTTATATCCCATCAACTTCAACCCGGTCGACGCAGAAAATTTCTCACCACCGCCATTCCTATCCGGAATGGAGAGCAGCTCCGTATGAAATCGATGACCGTGAAAACTGATGGGAACTATGCGATTCTTCTGGCTCAGCTCTTCCAGAACCTCATACCGAGGTCCGATACCGTCTGTGCGACTAACAGTCGCAGCCAGGTCTTTCGGATGGATCGAATGAGCGTTCCAATGGAAGAAAAAAATTCTTCCATCGGTACTAGACTTTCGATATGCTAAACCGAAGCATCGAGATCCTGGGGAATGCTCTTGACTCGAGCTGGGTCACACATTCGGATTCCCTAGAGGAGATTCTCAGTCTACTCGGTGGAACTCGCCATTATAAGTCAGATTCCTACAGTGATTTTTCACAATCCCGAGTTACATTCTGTCATTGTCGAACCCTTGCTGCGGAAGGCGGAGAATGCCACTCCCTTCGTTTCCGAACGATATGATCGAAACAGATCATCATATCTCATCCCCGGCCAAAAAAGGCTGCCTTCATGGGAACGGAGGATGCCATTAATGCTCAGGAGGTTTTTCCTCGAAATAGAGGGTTCCCGCCGAGACTATCAGCAGCCGTAGGAGAAGGACAAACGCTGATGAGCGCGAAATATCGGGAGCAATCAGCGCATGTGGAATGGATCATTAGATGCTGGCCGGTGACCTTTTGTCCTTGCCGACGAATCTTGTCGTTCGTCGGTAGACCACCGTCGAGCCAAATGCTCCCTCCAAAGCTCATCGTACTTAGCCTGCCCATCGGGAAAATAGTCCGAACGCGAGGCAATCCGCCTACATCACCGCTAGCAGCCT